GGCCCAGCAGCACACACAGACACACACACACAAGCACACACACACAGACACACACGCACACACACAAACACACACAGACAACCTCTCGTCAATATGCGTTTTTCGCATTGCATTGCTGCAAAAAACGCATAAAAACACACAGACAACCTCTCGTCAATATGCGTTTTTTGCATTGCATTGCTGCAAAAAACGCATAAAAAGCAAAAAACTGCGACATAATAACGGATCACTAATTATTTACAACTGCTGCATTTTTTTCGCTTCGTATTTGAACTTATCCCTTTTTCACGTCCCTTTTTTTTCCTTTCCTTTCGTAAATAATATTTCACGACACCAAGCAGTCTGTAGGAAGTGTGAATTTTTTGCATTCATGATTGCACCTGCGCAGTATGTGTTCTAGGAGCGAGACTTGGGTGATGAATATGGCTGGAAACAAGTGCATGGAGATGTGTTCCGGACTCCTTCTTTCCCGTTGCTGTTTTCTTCGCTTATCGGAACTGGTTATCATGTTTTCACGGTCGCTATAATAACAATCATTCTTGCTATTGTTGGCGAATTCTATACGGAGTACGGTGGTCCTTTCTCTCTTGGATAGCAAAATTGCTGGTGGAGACAGTCTTTCAGTTTCATGTTGTCTGATGAGAGGTCGGTTGATCTGGGTGGCAGCAGACATTCTGTCAGTTTCAGGCGAGGGTCGCTGCTGAGTGCTACAATTTTCGTATATGCTGCCGCATCACCAGTAAATGGTTTTACTGGGGGATCGATGTATGCTCGATTCGGCGGGAAACAGTAGGTGCTTTGGTATTCGGTCTGTCCATCCTCGTTGTTGAGGTTGTGAATTATTTGCTGATAAATTGGAAGTGTTAACTGCTTCAGATGGATTCGGCAAATGGTGGTCGGTGCATTTTTGTTACCCTCCTTGATATCAGTCGTGGCTTTCCTGGTCAATATTGTCGCCATATCATATCATGCTTCGAGAGCCATTCCATTCACTATCATGCTTGCGGTTACCGCTATTTGTCTATTTGTTATTCTCCCATTAACACTGGTTGGCACTGTGCTTGGTATGTTAGAAAGTCAATAGGATTCTTTTGGCTGTCAACAATTTAGGCGGATGGGAATGTGAACGGTACTGATGCGGAAAACGCAAGTCTGTACGTTTTGCAACATAGAAAGCTGCATTGCGTTGAAATCATCCTGTAGCTCAGTGTGTTACAATTTAGTGACCTTTAATAAATAATGCGATATGTAAATGTTAGTAAATTCAGGACGCAACGTGAAAGGACAAAGTGATAATCCATGCCGAGTAAATGCTGTTCCGCGACCGATCCCAGACAAAAAGTGGTTCCTTGAGCCGTCACTGATCGTTATGCTAGGTGGCGTTCTACCGTTTGGATCCATTTTCATAGAAATGTAATTTTTTTTTCCTAAGGAGATTTAAAAAAGAATTTAAATGTTTGTTAAGAAAAATAACTTAAAAGCTCCATATATTTCAGGTATTTCATTTTTACGTCGTTCTGGGCCTACAAAATATACTACGTGTATGGATTCATGTTGCTCGTCACCGTCATTCTTGCTGTGGTGACTATGTGTGTTACAGTTGTCTGCACTTACTTCCTTCTGAATGCCGAAGACTATCGGTGGTTAGTTCAGTCAATTCACTGGGATTAACGTTTAAAATTTCTAGCTGCGATTTTTGCATTACGGCAGTACATTGTTTCATTTTACTCTGAAAGTGAACTAATTCAGTTATAACTTTTTGTAGTTTTATGGCTGTAAGAAAATTTCTGTTTCAGGAGATGGACTAGCTTCCTGGCAGGCGCATCCACATCTCTCTACGTCTATCTCTACTCTGTTTATTATTTCCTCTTTAAAACGAAGCAAGTTTTTCCCGTTATGTTGGTTGAATTGTGGCGAAAGTGAAGCATTGTACAAGGAAATTCATTTTCGCAACTTTTCAGGATGTATGGGCTGTTCCAAACGGTGTTCTATTTCGGCTACATGGTTCTGTTTAGCGCAGCACTTGGACTGATGTGCGGAACGATTGGCTATTGGGGTTCTGCTAATTTTGTGCATAAGATTTATTCGACAGTGAAAATTGACTAATGTCTCTGGTGCGCACAGACACTTTCTGAGTGCTGCGCGGTCTTCACTTTCCCAGCTTATTTTTTTAGCAGACTTTCCTTGTTGGCAAATAAGTTTTGGCTGATGACAGAAGCTTAGCGAATAGAACGAAACCTCTAAGGTTTTTGTCTCCCCGCTTACGGTCCCTAAAAAGACGAAAAATAAAGGATTACTTGAAAAATTTGTCGATGCGAAGTGTTGTCGTCATTTGCCATTATTTGGCGCGACTATAGCTGTGGGTTCAAATAGCTGTTAGGCGCGGATGCCGCAGTTGTTGCTGTAATTAATATATTGTTATCAGCGTGCCGAGTGATGCATTACATTATTAGGTAGGTGTAATAATGTGTTTGTTTGAAACTAGTTGTCTTTTTGCCAAATAATTTAGTGGGAGTGGATAAGACGAGCAGGCGCCTTGTGTGGACTGATCACTTGCTCCTAGTGATTTGGGGTGGGGTGTATTTTTTGCACGTTTAATTTTCAGAATTGTTCTTTCGACGGATTTTCTTTAAGGCTGGGAAGTAATGTGTGTCGATAATATGAATTTAGTTGGTAAAACTGAAGTGTGAAAAGTGTGCTGGGAAAATGGGTGAAGTAGCCGAGAGGATGGAGATTCGCCAAGTTTGGGGAAGACACGATTGTCTCTTTGTATATCACTAATAAATTCACGATTCGTTTGGGTTGTGTATGTGTTGTCGTTTCCTTGTTATGATCAGTACTTCTTTGTGGTGATAAAGTTTTGATTCAGCGAGCAGCTATCCTCTGCAGCACTTCCTGCAACCCAGCAATGACTTAGTGTGTACACCCCACTCTCTCTCCATTTCTTGTTCTGCTTAGCAAGTCTGTAGGAGTTTCCTTGTTTTCAAACCGGTTTTTGAATGTACTGAGGATTTACAGTAACGGTGAGGAGCACGCCGTACTGCACAGCCCTGTTTGCCGACAGCTCCGTATCTCAGTATCAGTTTTTCTACCATCTAGCATCGTTGGCGCTGTGAACATCCGGTAATGCAGACGGTAGCGAGTGCTAGAGGTTCGCTTATTCAGGAAGGACAGGCAACCTAGACCGATTGTTGTCGCTTATCAGCCCCTGTCATCAGTGCATCGTTATGATGAAGTCGCGCCACTGAGTTTCCGCTTCAGTATCGTTTATATCCTGCATTTTTATGATACGAATTGCCACGCCTCGAAATTTTCACGACATGCGCGCTGTACTAAAAAGTACACCGAGTGGTGGTGGCCTTGGGCGACTTTGTCTTGCTCCGGTCTTTCACCCTCTCCAGCTTTTAGAATCGAACAGTGCCAGTCGGCCGTCCCTTACTGAAGTGCATGAAGAAGGGGCAGATTGGATTCCTCGTCTGGTTTTTGCACAGAAGAAAAATCGTTTTGTCTCGGTTATGGACATGCACCAAACGACGGGGTGATGGGCAAGGAGGGGAGAGGCACGTCCTGGGGACGAAGAGGCATTTCCCCATCCGGTATAAAGCAACGAGAAAATTTAGCCTCCAAATTTCGTGCAAATGATCGTGGAAGGGCCTGTGTGAATTTTGGTATAAAAATTCGGTTTTTCTGTGGGTGCATCAACGGTGGAAAGGCGAGCTTAGACCTTCGCAGCGGTTCTGCGTCGCAAGTATGCCAAAATCATCTGTGTGAAAATGTCGAAAATGTTAAAATTTTGTTGTACACGCATCTCGATTTCTTTCATTACGGTCTCAGTTCAAGCGTTTTCGGGGATGCGGACCAATATTTGTCTATTTCGACGAACTGTGTCCGACTGGTGGAGATTGGCAGTGTCCCACGGTGATGAGGCTTCACTACTCATTGTTCCTTCCTTAAAAATTGCCTTGAAGGAATGCCTGGAATACACCAGTGCAAGGAGAACTGATTCGAACGCCCTGTCAGTGATTGAAACGGGTATGGGTGATTAAGGTCGAACTGGAAGGACTGGGCACAAACCAGCCCTTAGATCCATCACCGCGAAAGAATGCCGCACTGAAGATAAACATCCGGGACCATTTCAGTGGATTCATTTTACTACGAAGTTGAGACCGAACTGCATTCAACAATAAAAAACACCTGCGCCGCTGTTTTCATCTCGTTTGCAGAGTACCGATAGCTGCGTTGCATTTGCAGCGATATTTAAACCCACTTATATACGGTACATCGTGATCCTTAGAAGTTCCTGATTGGAATTCGAGGTGATCCAGGAAGCAAAACTACTGATCCTTCAGCAGTGACAAAATAAGTTAACTGACCCAGTAAGTCCTGAAGAAACACTTCTATACTTAGCCTGACCGCTCCTCAGTGAAGAAAGTGAACAAAAAAGAGCGCCTCAGAAACGTAGGACAACGAACAGTATAGGCAAAAAAATAAAACCGCTTCCCAGAATCTCACATTTGCTACTGGACGACCATCCAGATGTTTGTTTGCACGCTTCTCCCTTGATGGTGCTGAAACCCCGCGGTTAATATCGTTTACGATGGGCCAGAGATTGACCTCTTCACTTATGCGTTTTTTGCAGCTATGCAATGCAGAAAACGCATGTTGACGAGGGGTTGTCTGTGTGTGTGTCTGTGTGTCCGCGTGTACTTCTGTCACGATTTTTCATCTCAAGATTTACAAAAGTTACAGGGCTAAAACTTTGGGAACTTAATCTACACGCACGTGCAGGCCCCAATCCCCAAAATGGGCGCCATTACCCGCGTGGCACCTACGTACGAGCCCGCCAAAATTTTTTTCTGGTAAGTTCATAACTCGGGGATCTGAGAAGCTAGAAAGCTGAAGTCTTACGAGGATGTTCCCCGTCCAAGTGGGTATTACTGGGCTCAAACCCAGCCCCCAGGCAAGCGTGGTACTCGCGTAGGGACCCGCCGGAATTTTTTTCAGGCAAGTTGATAACTCGAGTACCTCAGAAGCTAAAGGACTGTAATTTTAAGAGGATATACCCCGTCCACCTAGGTTTCATTCAGCTCAAAACTAACTCTCGGGTATGCGTGGTAAACACGCAGGGCCTGTGAAAATTTTTTTCAGTAAGTTGCTAACTCAGGAGCCTGGGAAGCTAGAAAGCTGAAATTTTAAGGGGGTGTTTCCTAACAGTTCTGGCGGCCAGTCTTAATTTGTTTTAGCTGAAACATTTGCCAAAAAAGGCCGGCGCCGGTAGCAACAAAAACTGCGAGGAACTCCGCAAAAAACGCATCTTCGCAGGGGCAGCCCGTGCGTTGGCCAATTATTTATTGTTGGCCAGTTATTCGTTGGCCAATTACGAACATGTCTGCTGTGCGTTTTGCGGTGCAAAGAACGACACAATTGTGTGTGTGTATTGGAGTTCTTGTTTGAAATTTTAGCAAGATGTTGTCTACCCATGTGTGACTCCCCAAATTTATATTCAGCTTTCGCGTGCACCTAGTACTTACGTGTCGGGGCGTGAAAGTTTTGGCGGAAAATTTATTAACGTAGGAACTAGACAAACTATAACGCTGAAATTCTGCAACCACCCTTTATATCCATGTCCGACCTTGGAAATTCAAATCCAGCTTTCTCTTATGTCTATGTTTCGCTCACGGATATGGGAAAGTTTTAGCGGGAAGTTTTTGAATCCGAATCTTGAACAGATAGAGAATTGAGATTTTACGACGATGCTCCCTATCAGTGCGCAAACTGGAAATTCAAATTCAGCTTACACGTACATACGGATATGTGAAAATCTAAAGAAGAAATTCTCTAGTTCGAGCACCAGACAAAATAGAAGCTGAAAAAGCTTCTTGTCAATGTGCGACGTTGGAGGCTCAAATTCATCTCCATGTAGACTTACGTCGCTTGCGGGCGCATAAAATTCCACCTGGAAAATTTTTTAGCTTGGGTACTTGATCAGACAAAAATCTGCAATTTTGAGAGAATGTTTCCTCTCAATGTGCGGCTCTGGAAATTTAGATTCAGCTCTCAGATACGCGTGGGTGTCACTTACAGAAACCTGAAAATTTTTGAACTCGCGACCCAGACAAGACAGTGATCTAAAAGTTTGGGGGGCTGTTTCATGTCCAGGTGTGCCTACGTTTCACACGTGAATGTGTGAAACTCCAAGCCGGGAGGTGCTGGCATTTTTCGAACTCTCTAGGCAGAACTACGTAAAAAACACATTATCGCATCGGCTATCTGGTGCGCCTACTTGCTTTACCAAAAGGAAAATTCACGAAACTGAAGGAAAGGGAACCCAGGCTGAAACGCACCAGGCGAGCCGGAGCGATCATGCGTTTTTGCACAAAACTTGAAATGGGTTAACTGCATGAACAGTTGTTTCTCCACACCTACCTTGTGTGCTTAATGCTGAAAATCATCGTAAATTTTGCATAAAAATA